TGTACCTTGTAGTAGAAACAAGATTCCAACCATGTAGAGGATAAAGCCAAGAGAACAGCTAGCATGATGTGGATTCAGTCATCTCATAAATTTTTTTCTTTGTTCTTACCTGACAGGTGCATTGTGGAATCATAGATTGGTATCCTTTTAATTCCTTTTTTTTTTTCAATTCTAACCATGGCCTTCTGATCTTTATTTCATAAGCCCGCTGTCCTTCCCCATCTAATAAAAACTGTAAAAGCTTTTGGAAACTGAAGGATGTCTTTTGTTTTATCTGAATAACCATAGTTTATGCTAACCCTGAAACCAACAGATTTATTTGCTCTAATAATGGTATCAGAGAACGGAGAGTCCATGATTTAACTTTGATTTGAACAATCTCCACATAACAGCAGAAATAACAACACAAGGTATTGAATGCAATTATCATATGTTTTTCATAACTTCTGGATGTTCTTGCTACCACAATTGGAACATTCAGAACTCAAAAGGTCAGAATAACTGGTCCCCCAGGCATTTTGATAGTGTTATGGTCTCCACATGTGAAATGAACTAAAGAACAAATGAAGCCAGTGCAGCAGAAAAATAATAGAGATAAGAAAAGAAACTTGGTTAGGTACCTGGAAATCATAACTTAAGCAGGACCAGATCGGAAAAAGATAGCACTGAAATTCTTGGGTTCTACATCTTAGATAAAATATGTTAAGCAGTTGAGTTACCCTACAGTCTTGTGGCCGGTTGAGAGATTTCAAGCTGTAAAAGTCCAGTAAAATTTTACTGGGACAATAGAGAGAACAAAATGGAATTACTCACTCAACCATGCCCTATATTATTTTGGAATTCTTAAAGGGGATACCTACTATATGTGCTAAAAAATGACACATTTGCCCTAATATAAGTTTTATCATCTTTATAAATAGACTAGAGTAATGGGGATAAAATTAGAATATAGCATTTAATGTCTCATATAATATAAATAATAAGTGAGCCAACTAAATTAGAACACACAAATTTACTAAGTGGGACAACTAAATTAGAATATGTAGATTTAGTAAATGGGACGACTAAATTGGAACAGAGGGAGTATGACGCATCCTTACATCCTAAATAAAGAATTTTTCTCACACTCTCACTTAATTGAACCAAACATAATTAATTTTTGAAAGGAAAAGAACAAACAATGACCTGGTAATCATAACATGTTTTTTCAATACAAATGGGAGCATGAAAGGTTACAGGGTCTACTTCCTGAGAGATTTTCGTTTTCCATTGCAACTCTGAGCATTTTGTTCTTTAAATTCCAACCAGAAAGAGCAGCAACTGGTGTTCATTTCCAGGTAACAATTAGGGCTCCCAATTTATGTATCAAGTGCAAGAATTTCCAGATGCAAACTGCTTGGCAACTAGCTCTGCCTGATACAGAGATGATGATCCCAGCTTTGTTTCAACTAGTCCAAATTTAGTAAAACAGTTTCTCCAATCATCTATCTTCATGTGCCTGAAAATCCTCTTGCCATCCTCCTCTGCAACAATGTTTTTTATAGCTCGAGAAAAGTGTGTTGCTTCAAAATCAATCCTGTTCTCATCTCTTCGATCCATACTATCTTCAAAGTAATCAAAAAGAGAACAAGAGAAAGACAATGTCTCTGAAAGCCGTTCCATGAGAATGTGTGAACTATGATTTGTCCCACGTCCTGATACCACCAGAACACATGGATTTAAGTTCTTAACAACTCTTATTAGAGCTCCCAAGCTAGCAGGTTGTCCTACTAAATGTCTTAGAACTGACTTAGCATTGATGACCATGTAAGATCAGTTAAGTAAAACTAATTCAAACCAACATAAAACTCAAGAAAAAACTCTTGAGAAACATGTGAAAGATGAAGGAAATGACATAAACTGAGCTAGAGATGATGCTCAGATTTTTCTCATTGATTTTTCATAATATTACATAGTTTCTGGTATATTTTTTTTATACAAAACACTAGCAGCACAATTACAATGTTCACCTATAATTAAATAATAATATAAACCCCATAAAGTAAGGGCATGGTGCTGCATACAATTAATGCCAGCCCATATTTTCAGGTGAACACTTAGCATCAAAGATACATAGAGATTACATTGGAAAATCAACAAAGAAACTTCTCAGCAACTTAATTGAACCCGAACTTAATGTGAACAGTATACGTAAACAGTAACTGATTGCACTGTTTCATTGATCTTCAACAGGCTACAACTTCACCATCTTTTATCTCAAACATGTTCTCAGAGGTATCTTTCATGTGTGTCACCATAGCAGTTTTGAATGAGAAGGGTATATTTAAGGACTCGGCAAAAGAGGTTAGCCTTTCACCTGTCTCCTCAATTTTCTTTTCCTCTATTGTCCCTACGGCAGTCACTTTAAGAAGCTCCAATGGAACTTTCCGAATGGAAAGAGCTTGCATTAAGGCTGTTCATTGGCCCTCCTTTCTAATTGCAAGGTCAATGCAATGAACCTTTCTTGCAGAGGCCACATGTTCTACAATTGCTTGAATTCCTGCAAACACACTAACTTGAGCAATTGGGAGCATTTCGTAACATTTTGTTGAAGTGGGTTTCAAACAAAATGGATTCTCATTTGATGGTAACAGCTCTGTTTTTTCGCTTTTCCTTATCTTTGATGTGTTAGCTCCGGTTTCTCGATCAATCTTCTGATGAAGAGCTTTAGTGTAATAGTGTACCATGCTCTGAAGTCTGAACTGAACTTCCATTATTTGAACTCGAGAAATCACACATTTCGAGGACTCTGCCTGCCTGATCAAATTGTTTGTTGCTAACCTTCTCGGCAGAGGCCAGCAGAAGAACTACAAGCTCCACGTCTTTGATCTCCTTATCTGAGAGATCAAAGCAATCACCACTGAAGAAACTATTAAGCATAGAGATATCAACAATGTCCTGGAAATAAAATCTGATGACATGTGCTCTCGCAATTTTGATGATATCTAGCGTTGATAATCTTTTAGTTTTTCATCCATAACTCAATTTCCTGCAAAGCATGATTCATTCATCAAATCCGTCCATATCAATGGGAGTGATTAATCTGGAGGGTGAAATAAGAGAGTTATACTCACCAGATTATAGCTGATTATGACGGTAGGTATCCCATTCTCTATCCTTGCAATTTCTGATTTCTTGGTGATGAAATACAATAATTTAATTCAAGCCAAGCAGATAGCAAATGCAACAATGTAGAAAACTTTAAATATGATGGTAACCCTTTTGTTTCCCTTTGTCTCACTTGGTGATGAAATGCAACAATGTAGAAAACTTT